ACCGCCACCAGGCAATCTTGCGAAGAGTAGAATCCACGTCAGGCATCAACGAGGGTTGTGGTTTGCTATGTCGGCCAACATCAGTGAAAGCAGTGACATGCCGGAAGCCACCACTTCTTTTACTAGAAAGGAGGGATTCAGGCACTCAGCTACGATGTTCACTTCCTCTGAACGCCAAAACACTTCTTTTGCCTCGAGTTTGTCAAACACGGTCTGGACCTCTTCTAGTTGATCGCGACCATACTGTGGCATGCGGCCCTTTCTTTGGGCGGGGCGGGGCGGGGCGGGGGGAGGGGACTGATCTGGACCCATGTTCACCACGCCTTCGAGAGGACCGACCTCTCCGTTGTATCCTGAGATAATGGGATCGAAGACTTTGTCAAATTCAATGTGTCATCAGGATCCAGGCGAACTTGTTCAGAGTGATATATGTGTTGCGTAAGAGGTTTCGATGAGGGACCAGGGGAGATTTGGTTGGAGACTGATCTGGATGATATGTCGTCAGAGACCAAATATGATCATACTTTTTTATGCGAATGGGCTTATCGGACGTATTGACAAGCCTGAGCTTGCCGCCAACAGTTTGAAGGATACTGTGTAATTGGTGGCATGCATTTGCATACTCGACCCATCGACAGGAAGAAGAGTCAACACGAGGTTCAACGGCAAGTTGGGTGTCAGAAGGAATGTCTGTAGGGAGGTCGATCTCTAAGTAACTACCAGGGCCAGATGGTGGTGGTGGTAGGCGGAGCACGTAGGAGGTGATGTACAAAATCTTATCTCATGCCTAGCGTATTAGCGGCTTTCCTATTGGCTACGAGGAGGTGCGTTCAATCTCGAACCCATCTGCTGACGTATGTTTAGGAGGTGGGTTCGAGATCGATGTTCTGCGGGCGGCCATTTTAATATGGCCCGATTTCAAAAAATTTCTGACGAAGATTTGAAAATAAGACAAGAGAGCCTTAAAAACAACAATACAACTAAAACTGAAAAAAACCCAGAAGGCATATTCAAGGAATATTTAATTCAAATTGGAGAGGAAGACAACTTCTACGAATTCAGCAAAGAAAAACTCGACAAGCACCTTACAAAATTCTGGTTCGCTGCGAGGACTAAAGATGTACACAAATACAAAGTAGGAAGCCTTCAAACAATTTGCTACAGTCTAAACAGAGCGCTGAAAAGTTTCGGACATAAATTTGACATTACAAAGAGAGAATGTACATCTTTCACTTCGAGTATTAAAGCATGCGAAGACGCGACCAAAGAGCTGAAGCAAAAAGGAAAAGTTTTCACGAAGAACCATGAAGCTATTAACACAGCAGGTAAAAATAAATTATTGTAACCCGTCATAGTGTTCGTCATACTAAATTAATTTAATACCACATTTTGTTGTTTTCAGACTTGTTTGATATATACCATTGTCGATACTTAGATCCAGACATTGGACCAAGACACCTCCAAAAGAAAGTCCAGCTTGACATCAGGTACTATTTTGCCCGTCGTGGAGCAGAAAATATGCATAAAATGACGAAAACAACCTTTGCAGTCAAACTTGATGAAAAAACTGCGATGAAGTATGTGATAAGAGCTGAAGATGAAGCAACAAAGAATCATAAAGCGAATGAAAATGATATTGTCACTTGTTACATGCCCTCCATGGTTGATAAGAAATATTGCCCTGTACGAAGCTTCATTATGTATACAGAAGCCCTTCATCCTACTTCTAAAAAACTCTGGCAAACTCCTAAGTTCAACTTATTTCCTACTGATGGTCAAAAGGTTTGGTATGGTCCCGGCAATGTTGGGCACGATTCGCTTGATAGCTTCATGTCAAAATTGGCCAAAAGTTGTGGGATTCGCACGAAAAGGTTACACCAACCATAGCCTAAGAGCTTCTGGGATAACAACATTGAAGCGTTACAACTACAACGACAAGCAAATAATGTCCATAACTGGCCATCGAAATAGCGCAAGTTTGGCTATCTACCGAAAAGTGGCTTCAGATGAAAAACTCCGAATGGGATGCACACTTGGTTATGCCTTCACGGCCTCACCGGTGATTCAAGCTGTCTAACCAGACAAGATGAAATTTCCAGTGTTTACCAACAACATCCTCGAGAAACCAATTACCAACTTTCCTCACACACTCCAAACCCCTCATTGCAAGAGATCGATGTAATTTCCAGATCTGAACGTCGTATGCCACTGTCCAAGCGACAAAACCCCTGTCAAGAAAACATAATACAGCCAAAACGTCGACCTAAGCGAAGTTCTACAACTATTGTAGCCCCTCAACAAGCTTTGGCGTCTTCTGATCCAATATTCTTTGAAGATGACATGGACGACCAAGATCTTTTGGTTGCCGTAAGCCAATTTGAGAATCAAACAACCTCAGAAAAGTCAGATTTGGTACAAATGTCATCCCAAGCCACATCCAGAAATAACAACCACCAGTTCTTGAGCAGACAAGTGATAAAAAAACCTTCCCATCGATCCCAACCTTTTCTAATTGTAAAATTAAGGGTGGCATTACAATAAACATTTGCAAAAGCTAAAAAATATTCTTTGAAATTGTTGAACAAAATTAAACTTGATGTTGTTATTGCATATCTTGTTGTTACAACAATTTGAATTAAAGTATTTGTGTGCATGCCTTTTTGTGACTATTGAAACAACCTTATTCAAATAACTTATAAATTTAATCAAATATTTATTATAATTGTTGCAGATTATAAAAATGTAATTGCATGTTTTTAATATTGAAATGAATTTGATAATTAAAATATAAATTGTTATATATTTCTTATTTTGTTTGATGAAAATGGAATATTGTGTATTCAAAGTGGAAGAGAATAAAAGATGGCCGCCGAAATTTTTCGGCACCGGCAGGTTTGTATAAACCTTGGCAATGTTTTCGCAGATTGTATTCATTATTTCTTTTCAAGAATAAGGGAATGTTGTAGGGAATTTTTTTAACTTCAATTTTAGCCTAAGTTTGTTTGCGTAGTATGTTGGCGGCTAAAATGTTCGTTATCCAAACAAGAAATTATATACTAAAATGCGTCAATTCGGTACTTTTTACTGAAATGGCATGTGATAAAAACCAAACATACTTGCAGGTTCGGTGAGTCCGGGATTGGACGCACCTCCCTGCAAGTATGTTTGTTATATAACAGTATATATGGCAACTGGTGGTGGGGTCAATAGATCCATAAGATACCATGTCAGAGCCAGCAATGATGACTTCGCGTTTGGCATGTCGAACAGCTATGTCGTTGCGCTCCATGAAGCGGATACCAGCTAGGATGTCAACATCGAGATCTTTGACAACCAGAGCATCAAGGTGAGGCTTTTCCCTTTGTGACTCAACGCAAGGCGAGTTTTACCCATAATAGAGATACCACCGTCAGCCTGTAACGCTAGCTACAGTATGAGCTTTTGGTTATCTAGGGCGCTGTAGAACACGGGCGGGGAAACGGCTATGGCGCTCTGATCTATGTGTGATGCAGCCTTCCCCGCATATTTTGATTTTTATTCCAGGCCAGCTGGTTCGAACAGGCATGTTTGTTTTGGCTTCGTTTTAAAATTACGATGTAAAAAATGCAATTCGATCGAGCTGAATTGACAATGGAGTTTCGGTTTCTGTGCTATTAGAAGACAAAAGCTTTTTTCAGGATTCTTGATTAATAATGGTCATAGGGAATGTTGTATATAGTTTAGATAAAATCGGGGTTTCACTGCGGGATTCGACATTTCGACTATATATAAATATACGACTCACGAGATGATCAGGACTTTTTGCGAAACAACTGCGTTCGTCTGTATGTTTATAACACGAAAATATAGATGAAGATATTTTTTCAAACGGTTGTTGTCATATACACTACAACTGGAATTTTTCATGTTAAAATGGCAAGTATAGCTATATTTTAGATCTGGAAACGTTAAAAAGCTAGGCGAAAGGAAATGCTTTATAAAAAAAGCCGATTATCCAATGTCATATTTCGGATTATGATAACTTAATCTAGTAGAATACAAAGTTTTTGGGTATGTTTCGTACCTAGCAAAAATTTTATCAGCAAAAATACAATTTTTCCGCGTTTTGTTTCCCATTGTTAAAATGGCGAATATGTATCGCTATTTTTTTGATCTGGTAATGTAAAAAGAGAGGCAAAAAGACATGCTTTATCAAAAAGCCAGTTATCTAATGTAGTATTTCGGTTATATCATAGCTTTTAAATCTCATAGAATACAAAGTTTCTGGGTAGGTTTCGAACATAGGAAAACTTTTCCGAGCATTTTTGGCGGTTTGTTTTTCCAGTGAAGCTAAAAACATTTGCAGCCCAAATGCCCAATGCTCGTACGTCCGCTACACAGCCAGAAACGCCACAAACTTGCTGCAAGTTGCGGATTTTACCGGCCTGCTGCAAGTTGTCAACAAGTTGCAGCAGGCTTGTTGAGTCATCAACTTGCAGCAAGCCTGTTGAAATCAGGCTTTCTGCTAGTTGACATTTGCAGACTTGGTGCAAGTTGATGAAACATGTTGCATCAAGTCAGAAAATATCAACTTGCAGCGAGCCTGATATATAGAACAACTCGCCGCAATTCTGATAAATCGAACGCATCAATGTTGAGGCAAGTTGAGAAAATTAGGCTTGCTGCAAGTTGTCATTTGCAGACTTGATGCAAGTTGATGAAACAAGATGCATCAAGTCTCCAAATATCGACTTGCAGCAAGCCTGATAGAACAACTTGCAGCAAGTCTGACGAACGCATCAATGCTGACACAAGTTGAGATAATCAGGCTTGCTGCAAGTTGTTATTTGCAGACTTGCTGCAAGTTGTTCAAACAATTTGCAGCAAGCTTGTGGATAACAGTCTTGACAAGTCTGATAAAACAACTTGCCGCAAGCCTGTTAAAATGTTGCAACTTAACATTGGCTGGAAGTTATGACAAATTTATTTGACTTGTTCTCAGCTTACAGACTTTGTTTATTGTTTGGCTAATTCGGCCGTGAAAGGCAGTTTCCTCAATGATTGGATAAAGGCGTATGCACACGTCATCATTCCTCATTGCAATTGGACGAAATATTACAAAATGTCAATCACGTAATCATGTTTGGTTGTTTTTGACATAGAGTTAATAACACTAGAGGGGGCATCAAGGGTGAAATTTGGGGTAATGGGGGAAAATTGAAATCCCGGATAAACACCACACAATTCTTGGATTACACTTGAAAATTTAAAACAATTTGTCACAAAACTGGGTGTTTTATATGTTTTGCATGTAATTACTAGAAACATTCCGCCAAAATTTTGAATTCAAACGATTATTTCTTTTTGAAAATATCAAAGCTGCTGAAATCAGCATTACTTTGGAGAGCTCTCAAAAATGTGACAAAATTGAGGTAAAAATGTTTGTTAAAAATCAAAACTGACTACTTAACTACCGTAAACAAAAATTTAGGGATTTTGGCTCAGACTCTCTCTTATTTCAGCATTTTAATTTTTTGGCCCGCAATAGCCGCGCTCCCTTTCTTCGACTGAATAAAGATTACCATGCACCCTCTAGTATTATTTGTAATCTCGGTTGTTTTTGAGCCAAACTAAATAGAATATCCAGATGTACGATGCCTTTCACATGCGAATACGTGAAGGGCATCGTACATCTGGATATTCGTTTGTGAAACTTTGGCGAACCAAGTTTATGTTGCTGATACGGAGGAACTCTGATACCATGCATAAAAGGTCTCTACTGCGGGGTAAATTGTGGCATCGCCATCTCAAAGTGTACGGGGTATTATACGAGAGAATGCGTTTCAGCACAAACAACTCGAAAGCACAAATTCCATGGAAATTCCACGGAACTCTCATGGGAGTAAAAATGAATTCATAATGAAGCAAGAACAGCACCAACAGAGTTTTTTAAACGTTTTCATAGGCTTTTCGGAGGATTTGTACTCGGTAAAATCCTGCCGAAATTTTATCACAAATGCAACAAATAGCGAACTTTTCATACATGAACTCAAATAAAGAATACCGTTTGTCATTTCCGTGCGCAAGCCACTTTTAGGAGAGCAAAAGTTGGCCACCGCCCTGGATAGCAAAATTTTCTATTTTCAAATTTTTTTATATTTTCCATAATTTAGGAACTCAAGCAATCCATACATATAAAAAATTACATTTCAGGAACAGAATTGTGGAATTGAGAGCAATTTCAAAATTGTCTTACTTTTTTTTATACATCCTGTATATTGTTTTTATCAATAAATTTTGTTAGTCTTGTGACAACAAATTTTTCCAGCAATTTGGAAAAGCAAGTTAGAACTGAGATTGGCCGATAATATTCAAACTTGTTTTCTCATTAATTTTAAAAATTGGCGTAATTAATGCGACTTTTAAATTGTCTGGAATAATTCCAGACGAGAATGATAAGTTAAAAATATGTGTTAAAGGCTTCGAAATTTCCTTGGCAATTATTTTTATAATTTTACTGTAAAACTATACTACTGGACTTTTTACTGTAAAAATACAGGATTTTGCATTACATCCTTCTGAAGTTAAAAATAAGACTTCAGTTCAAAAAATTGCAGTATTTCTCTGGCGTCCCAGCTGCCAGTACTTTTTACGGTAAAACGCGGATATTTTTTAACAGTATTATAGAACACATAACCGCTTCAATCAGATAAAATATCAATTTTAGTCTCACAACATTGAACAGCGGAGTAGGGGTTCTGTTCTGTTCTGTTCTGTTCTGTTCTGTTCTGTTCTGTTCTGTTCTGTTCATTGATTGCATGTAACTGACCTTCTCGCCATTATAATTGGTATTATAAGCATGATTCTATCAAATATATAGCCTTCCTTGAATTTTTTTTAGCTTACACTTCTATTGATCATTTATTATGGCCGTCTCGATTGATGAAATATTCAAAAAGATTGGCGAATTTCGCCAATATCAATGGTACACCTTGACTTTGATGGGATATTGTTTCCTAACTGCGGCAGCTTTTAATGGAATGATAGTAGCGTTCATTACAGCAGAACCAGAGTGGAAATGTGTTGATGGATATATGAATAATACCATATGTAGATTCAACAAATCAATAACATTAACCAGTGATAATTACAAAGCAAGATGTAAAATGCCGAGAGAAGCTTGGACGTTTGTGGATGACTTTACGTCCATTGTCACCGAGGTAAGGAGATTACCCAAAATTCTGGGTATCAATTCTAACACATCAAAGTAAATGGTCCTGGGCGAGGCAAGTACTGAATAAAAGCCAGTCTGACCGGATCGCAAATTGAACTGGACACTGGCCCGACCCGTCCCCTACATTGAGGTAGAATGTTGTGGTTTCCCACGTTTACGATTCCACTCGTGTAACGTTATGTAGAGGTTTTTGAGTTGT